ACGTTGCACAGGAAGTGACAGGTTGAGTTAAGAAGAGCTTCTCCGCTTTCTCATGTTAACGGAATATAATTAATTAATTTAACCTTGCACTATTTTTCACTATTGTCTAACACTTTATTAACCGAACCATCAATTAATAGAGAAAAGACCTGCAGATTAAGATCACAGGCATCATTATATCTGCAACATTTGCCTGGAATATAATGAAAGACTACAGACCATTAAAATCAGCTTTTTGTGTGGAGTGTAATGAAAAGACACACGGGATTAAGTTTGTTACACATTTAATAACAAACTGGATAAAATAAAACCATCCAGTTCTTAAAATAACTCCAGCACAGAGAAAGAAACACAAAATTTATTAAAACATTTCCAGCCGACAGGAGCTGCAGATCAGCTGCAGCATCACGTCTGAGTGACGCTTTGGAACAGTCTTTTTTGGCGGTCTGGTGGCCGACCAGTAGGAGCTGCATCAAATGAAAGGTCTGCTCAGTCCGGGTCGATTGATGTCCCCCCCCATCACAGAGGGACACGCTGCAGGCCTGTAAAGCATGGGAGTGCTTTTGGTCGCTGGAAAATTGATTCGTGTTCACTGTTTTTATCAATATTTCACCTTCATGTTATTTGGAACGTGGCTGGACAGAAATAGGGTTTTAAACTTCCCAACAAAACCCAACTCCCAATAAAAGTCAACATTTAAACATGAAATATTACCAAAATATGATTCGCCTGGTATATTTTATAAATATTGTGTGATAACTGTTGTATTTTACTTTATTTTCATTAAATTTACAGTTGCATTCCAGGTGTATTACAAGATATTCAGATGCATTATAATCCATTTCATGATGGTTTTGATGGTTTATTTATTTCAAAATATTTTTTTTTACCAGGCGAGGATGAAAATATCATATTTCTCTTTATTGCATCTCCATTTTGTCTGTAATTGTAAAATAATGTATGATGGGTTTATTTTTTTGTGATCAACATTTTTATTAGTATAGGGGGGGTGCAGACATATCCATGAACAAGGACATCTATTATAGCAGTGGTAGAATGAAAATACATCACAAAGGCATAACAGTTATATTACAGTGAAGTAATTGGGCAGGTGTTTTGCCCCCCAGCTATTAAATCTTTTCCAAAAGATAAGATTAGACAAAGTTTTTCCAGGCTTCTGCAGTTTCTGGCGGAGCCTTGTTGAGTCGTGGTTCCAGATTGACCAAGTTAACAAGGCTGCGCACCCAGAACGGTTTCTTTCATACATCAGGGGAGAACCAGTGGGTAATTTGGGTTTTCTTTGCAGATGTAAACCCAGCAAACAGCATTTTATACTGAATTTGCTTCAAGGTAATGTCAGAGCAAAAAGCAGGATTAGGAACATAAACAGTATCAAGTACTGAGAGACAACAGGACGGGTCCAGAACATGTGCAGCCTGTAGTCTCATCCGACGTCTCTTATGCTCTGTGAATGGGTTTTAAAGGGAATTAGTTGAAGTGAGATTTGATCGTAAGATTGAACCGCACTCTGTTCCAGTCTAGAGTTATGTTAAAGCTCCCGATTCCAAATGGCTTCTATTGGCAAAGTCTTTGCTCTGAATTCAATTAGTTTATTATATATTATGGACACAGAGGATGGATTCATGTTCCTCAGCTTCTGACCTTTCAAAGGAGACCAGAATGATGGATCTAGGCCTGATGGTTGAGGAGATATTCCTGATTCATTTTTATTATTATTTTAGGTAGATCTTCCTGGAACTAGGTGGCGGTGACCAACAGGGTTAAATCCAGTAGCCTCCACTCACCCATTCAGAAATTCACTGCAAGGCAAGCCCCTCCCCCCCAAAGTACCAGTACTTTCGGAAAGTACTACCCCCCCCAGCAGGGACTCTTTGGGGATAAAGTCTCTAGAAGAGTTCCTGGGTAAAGTTATCCACAGAAGGTTAAAGTCTGGACCTGGTTGAAGATACTAGAAGACGCTTCGTCCCTCATCCGAGAGTCTTCGTCAGTTCTGATCTCCAGAGGGGAAATTCAGGTGCAGCACAAGGACATAGAAGTTTTACTGTATAAACTCACCTTTTAGTGGAAGTTCCCCTTTAAGAGCTCCTCGTCGCGTCGACACATCTTTCATCGTGAAGGAGAGATGTTTACCTGCCACACCTGAGCGAGCCCGGTCCGCTGGAGGGAAGTTGGCGTTCATTAGGGAAGTAGAGGTCGACCACGCTGCGGTTCAACCACTTCCTACTTTCTGACTCTCATTCACAACTCTGACTTCATTTCCTCCCGGTGCTCGAGTTGCTCTGTTTGACAGAGTGGATTTATTCAAAGCGAGGCGGCGATGACGGACGGCTGATGGAGAACGGACTCCTTTCAACGGCAGCAGAGAGGTGCGTTACATCAGGCGGAGTTCAGCCGGGCTGCACCGAAGTGAGAGTGAATGAAAGTGTGTTATTGATCCCTGAGGGGCCGCCGGTCGATGCAGCAGCAAACACTGCAGTTAAAAATAGGCTGCAGACTGCGAGGCAGCTGGAGGGAACGTTACAGCGTGTTTACAGAGGAACAGATGGATGGAAGTATTAAATATCTCAAGTATTTAATCATGCATTTCTGTACTAACACGTTATTCTGGATCATAGTGTTTAAAGTTTAGAGAGGGAGAGAAGAGCGGCGGGACTTTACATGTCATTTGTGTAGATGTGGTCATTTGCATGTGGGACAGGTCGAGCCGGTTGTTTCTGAGTGTGAGAGAACAAGTAAAGACTCCCATGTAACTTCACTGCAGGTTAAAAAGACGGACAGAAAACCGATAAGTCAGCGTGTCACTTCTTCACCGATCAGCGTGAATGTGAAGAACATGTTTGAGGTCACTGAGGAACAGTTTATTTTTACTAATGTCCCACATGCTGCAGATCTGGGTCGCTGCCGCCACACGTGGGGAGACTTGGAGAAGGTCTGCAGCTGTGCGAGGCTGCGTTCGCTTTGAGCTAAATGCTAACGTGCTGATGTTGAGCAGTTGTTATATTACACGAGACACGAGGAGTCCTCTTCCTAGTCCTCGTCCGAGACTAGGGAAACTGTTGCACCTCTGTGGGGTCGTTGTCTGAACGACCGTCGTGGCACCCGTTCACCATGTTCTCCGTCCTCGCTCCTACGTCTTCCTTTTAAAACTCAGACCTTCTGCTGCGTCTCCGCCTCCCGTCCAGACTGAAACGGCGAATCCAGAGACCTAAAACGGAGAAGATTAAAACGCTGCTGAAACTCCGGAGAGCGTGTTAGTGCTGACAGGTGAAAACGATGACGCAGACGCCCACGTTTGGCTTCCTGATTGGCCCTCATCAGTCATGAAAAGCAGGAACACGATGCTGCTGACAGAGTTTTGGTGTTTTTATTAAAATACTTTATTCTACACTTACTGTGCAGGTCTCCGTATTGACTTTGCGTCGACTCCCACTCTGTTTCCCGCCGCCACAGTCTCTTTGTCCTCTCGTGTGACTTTTGCTGTCGGTCCGTGCAAAGAAATCTCTGCTGTGGCCGACAGCTGATGGGAATGTCTTTAGTTCTGCAGGTGTTTGGTCATAAAGCAAAGTGTTGGACACATTAACACGTCGACCCGATGGTGGCGCTGGAGGGAACGTCAGAGGAACATGAAGGTCTGAACAGAATGTAGTTGAGGTGTTTCAGTAGACTGAAGTTCTCCAGAGCTTGTTTTTTTTGAATGAATCAAATTTCCATCCATTTCTTGTCATTTTTTCTCTTATTTTTGCCACCTGGGTTCCCATCATGCTTTGGGGTTTGGGTTGGATCTAAAAGAAAATGCAGAATCATTTCCTGCGTGTGGATAGCGTGTAATTTTCTATATTCAGATATCTAATCTTTGTATTCAGAAGTTCAATCTGCATCATCAGGAGACGTGCTGCTTTTAGCTGCCAGCATTTCCTGTTTGCACTGTAACCATGGAAACATAACATTCAGCGGGTTACTCTGCAGAAAACGATGACTCAAGGCTTTGAGTCCTGACAGATGCCGGTTTGGTCTTGAGGTTCAAACAGTGCCCAGACCCTCAGACCTCCCCAGGGTCCTGGAGTCTGCCTGCTCTTTCACTGCGGGAGGGGGGGGTCACCAGGGTCACCAGGGTCACCAGGGTCACCAGGGTCACCAGTCAGCGTTCATTCAGTGAGACGGCAGAACAAGATGAACTTTATGGTTTTGAATCAGCACTTTAAATGTTTGGATCAGTCAGGTGAGGCGGCTGCTGAACAGTCTCAGATATTTACAGCAGAAGTATCAGGACTTCCTGTGTGGAGTTATACCCCCCCCACCTGTTCCTCAAAGGTGCACGTAGTTCCCCCGTCCTACGTTGGTTAAGGTCAGCAGAAGGCTGATGTCTGAAAGTCCAAACGGGAACACGGGAGTGAAACTAAACTCCGAGACCACAGAGACGCAGGTAGAAACTACAACAGAGATCCTGAGCTGGACCCGTGGAGCTAAAGCTGACCCACCAGAGTCTGAAGGAAAACCCTCTAATTCCTACTGATGAGTTTCCTTCTGCTCTCCTTTTTAAACCCTGTTAACGAAGCAGAGAATAAAGTATTAAATAAAATAAATAATAAATAAAGTAGTGATGAGTGACGGCAGTTGCAGCGCGGGATGATTAGACCTTATCTTATTTGATTATCTACCGCAAAATAAAAGCTCAGCTTATTTATTTCTACATGTCCTTTTTAAAAACAAAGTTTTCCAGCTTTGTCAGGATGGAATAACTGGTTCTGTTTTCTTTAACTGCTGTACGCTGTGAAACTGTGAAACTGTACCGTGAAGATCTGACGCCGTCACCACCCTGCTGACAGCTTTCAGCTTAGAGGAACTCTGAGAACAGGAAGCTGTCGCCTCACAGCAGAACAAGAAAACGGACCTGAAAGTCCTGAAATGTGCGTGTTTGTGTTGTCAGGGAGCGACCGGGGAACCGCCCGCCCGAGCTGCTGTACCCGCAGGACGACGTGGCAGAGCGCCTGGCGCTCGGCGGCAGCGATGACGCGCTGGCCAACGGCACGAAGGCCGACCTGCAGGCGGCCAAACGTCTCGCCAAACGCCTCTACAACCTGGACGGCTTCAGGAAGTCGGACGTGGCTCGACACCTCGGCAAGAAGTCAGTGTGTGTTTGTGTCCGACGCCTTGAGCCCGGTGGAGGGCTGTGATTGGTTATTAATTCTTCTTCTGTGTCTCTGCAGTAATGAGTTCAGTCAGCTGGTCGCAGAGGAGTATCTCAGTAACTTTAACTTCACGGGGCTGACCATCGATCAGGCGCTCAGGTCAGCTCTCTCCTCCCTCTGATCCACATTAAAACACAGCTTCATGGTAGTTTCCTGTCAGGTGACTCGCAGCCTGCTTCATCAGCAGCTGTGGTAGAAATGCTTCTTTAATAAAGACTCAAAGGTACCAGAAGACCGAGGACATGCATATAACCTTAAAAACTGCGGCTCCCAGCATGCATTTCAGTAAGGAACGTCCAATCACAGGGCTTCCTGACGGTGTGTGTTTGTGGCCTTCAGGACGTTTCTGACCCGGTTCGCTCTGGTGGGAGAAAGTCAGGAGAGAGAGAGAGTCCTCGCTCAGTTCTCCAGGAGGTACAGAGAGTGCAACCCGGAGAGCCTGACCACTGAAGGTACCTGTCTCTCACCTGCATGTGTCTCACCTGTGTCTCTCACCTGCATGTGTCTCACCTGTCTCTCACCTGCATGTGTCTCACCTGTCTCTCTCACTTGTATGTATCTCACCTGGATGTCTCTCACCTCTGTCTCACCTGTGTCTCTCACTTGTATGTGTCTCACCTGTGTCTCTCACTTGTATGTGTCTCACCTGTGTCTCTCACTTGTATGTATCTCACCTGTCTGTCTCACTTTTCTGTCTCACCTGTCTGTCTCACTTTTCTGTCTCACCTGTCTCTCTCACCTGCATGTGTCTCACCTGTCTCTCTCACTTGTACGTGTCTCACCTGTCTGTCTCACTTTTCTGTCTCACCTGTCTCTCTCACCTGCATGTGTCTCACCTGTCTCTCTCACTTGTACATGTCTCACCTGTCTCTCTCACTTGTACGTGTCTCACCTGTCTGTCTCACTTTTCTGTCTCACCTGTCTCTCTCACCTGTCTCTCTCACCTGCATGTGTCTCACCTGTCTCTCTCACTTGTACATGTCTCACCTGTCTCTCTCACTTGTACGTGTCTCACCTGTCTGTCTCACTTTTCTGTCTCACCTGTCTCTCTCACTTGTATATGTCTCACCTGTCTCTCTCACATGTATGTGTCTCTCACCTGTGTCTCACCTGTCTCTCTCACCTGCATGTGTCTCACCTGTCTCTCTCACTTGTACGTGTCTCACCTGTCTGTCTCACTTTTCTGTCTCACCTGTCTCTCTCACCTGCATGTGTCTCACCTGTCTCTCTCACTTGTATGTGTCTCACCTGTCTCTCTCACCTGCATGTATCTCACCTGTCTCTCTCACTTGTCTCTCTCACTTGTACGTGTCTCACATGTCTCTCTCACTTGTATGTGTCTCACCTGTCTCTCTCACCTGCATGTGTCTCACCTGTCTCTCTCACTTGTATGTGTCTCACCTGTCTCTCTCACTTGTACGTGTCTCACATGTCTCTCTCACTTGTATGTGTCTCACCTGTCTCTCTCACCTGCATGTGTCTCACCTGTCTCTCTCACTTGTATGTGTCTCACCTGTCTCTCTCACCTGCATGTATCTCACCTGTCTCTCTCACTTGTACGTGTCTCACATGTCTCTCTCACATGTATGTGTCTCTCACCTGTCTCTCACCTGTCTCTCTCACCTGTACGTGTCTCACCTGTGTCTCTCACCTGTGTCTCCCTCAGACAGCGTCCACACTCTGACCTGTGCCGTCATGCTGCTGAACACAGACCTTCATGGAAACGTGAGTCCCGCCTTTGAAAGCTTTTCCTTCAGACTGTCGATCAGCTGTTCATCAGAGCCAGAGGCTCCTCCTCCTCCTGAGGGACAGGAAACATAAAGGACTGTAGAGGACTGCCCACCAGGGCCGTCTCACGTGTCCTGGTTTGACCTTTGTAGCTCTTCATCCTCAGGTCCTCCTCAGATGGAGCTGAGCTGCACCGCAGTGCGAGCGAGTCACTGAAGTGACGGGACTTCTGCTAACTTGTTTAAAGGAAGTGATGACCGTTGCCGCGACTACAAGCTGTCCAATCACACAGTCCGGGCTCACTTCCTCTTAGCTGAGTGAGCGAGAGCAGTAGTGACACGATCACAGCGTTTAGATGAGCTTTAAATAAACCATCACAGTCTGTACTGCAGTAAAAGTATATATATCACGTACTGAGAGTGTCACAGTAAAAGTACTCGTCCTGCAGTAAAAGTATATATCACGTACTGAGTGTCACAGTAAAAGTACTCGTCCTGCAGTAAAAGTATATATATCACGTACTGAGAGTGTCACAGTAAAAGTACTCGTGCTGCAGTAAAAGTATATATATCACGTACTGAGAGTGTCACAGTAAAAGTACTCGTGCTGCAGTAAAAGTATATATATCACGTACTGAGTGTCACAGTAAAAGTACTCGTGCTGCAGTAAAAGTATATGTATCATGTACTGAGAGTGTCACAGTAAAAGTACTCGTGCTGCAGTAAAAGTATATATATCACGTACTGAGAGTGTCACAGTAAAAGTATATATATCACGTACTGAGAGTGTCACAGTAAAAGTACTCGTGCTGCAGTAAAAGTATATATCACGTACTGAGAGTGTCACAGTAAAAGTATATATCACGCACTGAGAGTGTCACAGTAAAAGTACTCGTGCTGCAGTAAAAGTATATGTATCATGTACTGAGAGTGTCACAGTAAAAGTACTCGTCCTGCAGTAAAAGTATATATATCACGTACTGAGTGTCACAGTAAAAGTACTCGTCCTGCAGTAAAAGTATATATATCACGTACTGAGTGTCACAGTAAAAGTACTCGTGCTGCAGTAAAAGTATATATATCACGTACTGAGTGTCACAGTAAAAGTACTCGTGCTGCAGTAAAAGTATATATATCACGTACTGAGTGTCACAGTAAAAGTACTCGTCCTGCAGTAAAAGTATATATATCACGTACTGAGTGTCACAGTAAAAGTACTCGTCCTGCAGTAAAAGTATATATCACGTACTGAGTGTCACAGTAAAAGTACTCGTGCTGCAGTAAAAGTATATATATCACGTACTGAGAGTGTCACAGTAAAAGTACTCGTGCTGCAGTAAAAGTATATGTATCATGTACTGAGAGTGTCACAGTAAAAGTACTCGTCCTGCAGTAAAAGTATATATATCACGTACTGAGTGTCACAGTAAAAGTACTCGTGCTGCAGTAAAAGTATATATATCACGTACTGAGTGTCACAGTAAAAGTACTCGTCCTGCAGTAAAAGTATATATATCACGTACTGAGAGTGTCACAGTAAAAGTACTCGTGCTGCAGTAAAAGTATATATATCACGTACTGAGAGTGTCACAGTAAAAGTACTCGTCCTGCAGTAAAAGTATATATATCACGTACTGAGTGTCACAGTAAAAGTACTCGTGCTGCAGTAAAAGTATATCACGTACTGAGTGTCACAGTAAAAGTACTCGTCCTGCAGTAAAAGTATATATATCACGTACTGAGAGTGTCACAGTAAAAGTACTCGTGCTGCAGTAAAAGTATATATCACGTACTGAGTGTCACAGTAAAAGTACTCGTCCTGCAGTAAAAGTATATATCACGTACTGAGTGTCACAGTAAAAGTACTCGTGCTGCAGTAAAAGTATATATATCTGCTGCTGAACAGGAGCAGGTCACGCCTGCTTAGATCTTAAGTCACAGTAACGTATATTTCTGTCGTTTTCTCCCCTTAAAAGAAACTAACTTGCAAACAGAAACAAAACTTTAAAGCTAAATAAAAACGCATTGTGAGACAAAGGTTGTGAAACTGGGGGGCGCAGAGCTGCTTCAGGGGGTCGTGGATGTTGAGCGGACCTGAAGATGCGTAAATGTTAGCAGGTCTCCCGATGAGCTTTTTCAGCGGCGCTGGTTAAATGTACACAGAGCAGCGGATACGAGTCGCCTCCATCCACGAGGTAGCTCCACCCTGAAGCCTCCCCTGCTTCCTGGTCTCTGTTCCTCTAAATGGGACCATAATTTACTAAATGAACATCATGCTGTGTTGAAGAAGACTTGAAACTAGCGACTGAGACCAGAAACTCATCAGGAAAGAGTTTACTGAGGGAATAAATCAGCTGACAAGTAGAAACATTTTCTCACAGACTTCTTCCTGCTTGTTGACGTTACCGTAACACTGTACAGAAAAAACTCTTGTTAAATAGTGTTTAAATAAATTATAAAGGAAGTGATGCACCTCACCTATTCTGTCCAGGTGAATTATGGGAAATGTAGGATTCAGGTTCTGCTTCTTTTCGGACCTTTCTGATTTTAACCCGACTCTCGTTCGGCCCCCAACTTTATTTAAATACAACTAACACAGTTATTTAAAACTGTGTGTGTGTGCAGAACGTGGGGAAGAGGATGTCCAGCAGCCAGTTCGTCTCCAACCTGGAAGGTCTCAACGATGGAAAAGACTTCCCCAAAGATCTGCTGAAGGTACGACTGAGACACACTTACACAACTAACGCACACACTTGCACAACTAACACACACACTTACACAACTAACACACACACTTACACAACTAAACACAACTAACGCACACACTTGCACAACTAACGCACACACTTGCACAACTAACACACACACTTGCACAACTAACACACACACTTACACAACTAACACACACACTTACACAACTAAACACAACTAACGCACACACTTGCACAACTAACACTCACACTTACACAACTAACACACACACTTGCACAACTAACACTCACACTTACACAACTAACACACACACTTGCACAACTAACGCACACACTTGCACAACTAACGCACACACTTGCACAACTAACGCACACACTTGCACAACTAACACTCACACTTACACAACTAACACACACTTGCACAACTAACGCACACACTTGCACAACTAACGCACACACTAACACACACACTTGCACAACTAACGCACACACTTGCACGACTAACACACACACTAACACACACACTTGCACGACTAACACACACACTAACACACACACTTGCACGACTAACACACACTAACACACACACTTGCACGACGCACAGGGATCCTTGGCCCGTGATTGTCAGAGCGACAAAGAAACAGGGAGACGCATTAATTTCAGCTCTTCATGACTGCCGGGCTGAACGAGTGTGTGCGTCTCTCTGTCTCTTTCTCCCACTCTTTTGTTTCCATCTCAGCCTCCGAGCGATCAGCATGAATCTGCGTCACCTCTTCACCTCCATCATCATCATCATCATCCCTCTCTGTTAGTGTGTGTGTGTGCGTGGGCAGCAGCTCCGACTGACTGAGAGGAAGAAAACAGTGAATTCAGACTCTTTATAAGTGAACAACATGAATTATTCTCAGAGAGAGGGTTTTTCTTCTTCCTCTCTCGCAGTGTTTGTGAAGGACTACACTGATGATTGTTTGTCTTTCCAAACCTCCAGATTTTCATGGTTTGATTTAGATTTCCCAACATTTAAAAGAAATAAACACTTCCTGCACCAACACGACAACCCTGATGACAACACACGTGTACCAGCGTCTGAAACGAACAAGCTCCATATCTGATTAACTTAAAATATGTGAAATATAAATAAACAGCCATCTGTGTTCTACAACGCGATCAGACCTGATCACTGTTGTCCACCTGTCCGGTACTCATTTATTAATCTGATGTGTTTAATCCAACGACCTCTGGTCACATCATCTACACATGGAAGCTCTCTGGCTTTAGCGTCAGTGACGTTAGCTTCAGTGACGTCAGCTTTAGTAAAGTTAGCTTTAGTGACGTTAACGTCAGTGACGTTAGCTTCAGTGAGATTAGTGTCAGTGACGTCAGCTTTAGTAAAGTTAGCTTTAGTGACGTTAACGTCAGTGACGTTCACTTCAGTGAGATTAGTGTCAGTGACGTCAGCTTTAGTAAAGTTAGCTTTAGTGACGTTAACGTCAGTGACGTTAGCTTCAGTGACGTCAGCTTTAGTAAAGTTAGCTTCAGTGACGTCAGCTTTAGTAAAGTTAGCTTTAGTGACGTTAACATCAGTGACGTTCGCTTCAGTGAGATTAGTGTCAGTGACGTCAGCTTTAGTAAAGTTAGCTTTAGTGACGTTAACGTCAGTGACGTCAGCTTTAGTAAAGTTAGCTTCAGTGACGTCAGCTTTAGTAAAGTTAGCTTTAGTGACGTTAACGTCAGTGACGTCAGCTTTAGTAAAGTTAGCTTTAGTGACGTTAACGTCAGTGACTTTAGCTTCAGTGATGTTAGCGTCAGTGACTTTAGCTTTAGTGACGTTAGCTTCAGTGACTTTAGCTTTAGTGACGTTAGCTTTAGTGACGTCAGTTTTAGTAAAGTTAGCTTCAGTGACGTTAGCTTCAGTGACGTTAGCTTCAGTGACGTCAGCTTTAGTAAAGTTAGCTTTAGTGACGTTAACGTCAGTGACTTTAGCTTCAGTGATGTTAGCGTCAGTGACGTTAGCTTTAGTAAAGTTAGCTTTAGTGACGTTAACGTCAGTGACGTTAGCTTCAGTGACGTCAGCTTTAGTAAAGTTAGCTTCAGTGACGTCAGCTTTAGTAAAGTTAGCTTTAGTGACGTTAACATCAGTGACGTTCGCTTCAGTGAGATTAGTGTCAGTGACGTCAGCTTTAGTAAAGTTAGCTTTAGTGACGTTAACGTCAGTGACGTCAGCTTTAGTAAAGTTAGCTTCAGTGACGTCAGCTTTAGTAAAGTTAGCTTTAGTGACGTTAACGTCAGTGACGTCAGCTTTAGTAAAGTTAGCTTTAGTGACGTTAACGTCAGTGACTTTAGCTTCAGTGATGTTAGCGTCAGTGACTTTAGCTTTAGTGACGTTAGCTTCAGTGACTTTAGCTTTAGTGACGTTAGCTTCAGTGACGTCAGCTTTAGTAAAGTTAGCTTCAGTGACGTTAGCTTCAGTGACGTTAGCTTCAGTGACGTCAGCTTTAGTAAAGTTAGCTTTAGTGACGTTAACGTCAGTGACTTTAGCTTCAGTGATGTTAGCGTCAGTGACGTTAGCTTCAGTGAGATTAGTGTCAGTGACGTTAGCTTCAGTGACGTCAGCTTTAGTAAAGTTAGCTTTAGTGACGTTAACTTCAGTGACGCTTTAGTAAAGTTAGCTTTAGTGACGTTAACGTCAGTGACTTTAGCTTCAGTGATGTTAGCGTCAGTGACGTCAGCTTTAGTAAAGTTAGCTTCAGTGACGTCAGCTTTAGTAAAGTTAGCTTTAGTGACGTTAACGTCAGTGACTTTAGCTTCAGTGATGTTAGCGTCAGTGACTTTAGCTTTAGTGACGTTAGCTTCAGTGACTTTAGCTTTAGTGACGTTAGCTTCAGTGACGTCAGCTTTAGTAAAGTTAGCTTCAGTGACGTCAGCTTTAGTAAAGTTAGCTTTAGTGACGTTAACGTCAGTGACTTTAGCTTCAGTGATGTTAGCGTCAGTGACGTTAGCTTCAGTGAGATTAGTGTCAGTGACGTTAGCTTCAGTGACATCAGCTTTAGTAAAGTTAGCTTTAGTGACGTTAACGTCAGTGACTTTAGCTTCAGTGATGTTAGCGTCAGTGACGTTAGCTTCAGTGACGTCAGCCTTAGTAAAGTTAGCTTTAGTGACGTTAACGTCAGTGACTTTAGCTTCAGTGATGTTAGCTTCAGTGACTTTAGCTTCAGTGATGTTAGCGTCAGTGACGTCAGCTTTAGTAAAGTTAGCTTTAGTGACGTTAACGTCAGTGACTTTAGCTTCAGTGATGTTAGCGTCAGTGACGTTAGCTTCAGTGACGTCAGCTTTAGTAAAGTTAGCTTTAGTGACATTAACGTCAGTGACGTTAGCTTCAGCGACGTTAGCTTTAGTAAAGTTAGCTTTAGTGACGTTAACGTCAGTGACATTAGCTTTAGTAAAGTTAGCTTTAGTGACGTTAACGTCAGTGACTTTAGCTTCAGTGAGATTAGCGTCAGTGACGTTAGCTTTAGTAAAGTTAGCTTTAGTGACGTTAGCGTCAGTGATGTTAGCTTTAAAGTTAGCTTCAGTGACGTTAGCTTCAGTGACGTTAGCTTTAGTGACGTTAGCTTCAGTGACTTTAGCTTTAGTGACGTTAGCTTCAGTGACGTCAGCTTTAGTAAAGTTAGCTTCAGTGACGTCAGCTTTAGTAAAGTTAGCTTTAGTGACGTTAACGTCAGTGACTTTAGCTTCAGTGATGTTAGCGTCAGTGACGTTAGCTTCAGTGAGATTAGTGTCAGTGACGTTAGCTTCAGTGACATCAGCTTTAGTAAAGTTAGCTTTAGTGACGTTAACGTCAGTGACTTTAGCTTCAGTGATGTTAGCGTCAGTGACGTTAGCTTCAGTGACGTCAGCCTTAGTAAAGTTAGCTTTAGTGACGTTAACGTCAGTGACTTTAGCTTCAGTGATGTTAGCTTCAGTGACTTTAGCTTCAGTGATGTTAGCGTCAGTGACGTCAGCTTTAGTAAAGTTAGCTTTAGTGACGTTAACGTCAGTGACTTTAGCTTCAGTGATGTTAGCGTCAGTGACGTTAGCTTCAGTGACGTCAGCTTTAGTAAAGTTAGCTTTAGTGACATTAACGTCAGTGACGTTAGCTTCAGCGACGTTAGCTTTAGTAAAGTTAGCTTTAGTGACGTTAACGTCAGTGACATTAGCTTTAGTAAAGTTAGCTTTAGTGACGTTAACGTCAGTGACTTTAGCTTCAGTGAGATTAGCGTCAGTGACGTTAGCTTTAGTAAAGTTAGCTTTAGTGACGTTAGCGTCAGTGATGTTAGCTTTAAAGTTAGCTTCAGTGACGTTAGCTTCAGTGACGTTAGCTTTAGTGACGTTAACGTCAGTGACTTTAGCTTCGGTGATGTTAACGTCAGTGACTTTAGCTTCGGTGATGTTAGCGTCAGTGACGTTAGCTTCAGTGACGTCAGCTTTAGTAAAGTTAGCTTTAGTGACGTTAATGTCAGTGACTTTAGCTTCAGTGATGTTAGCGTCAGCGACGTTAGCTTTAGTAAAGTTAGCTTTAGTGACGTTAACGTCAGTGACATTAGCTTTAGTAAAGTTAGCTTTAGTGACGTTAACGTCAGTGACTTTAGCTTCAGTGAGATTAGCGTCAGTGACGTTAGCTTTAGTAAAGTTAGCTTCAGTGACGTTAGCTTCAGTGACGTTAGCTTCAGTGACGTTAGCTTTAGTGACGTTAACGTCAGTGACTTTAGCTTCAGTGATGTTAGCGTCAGTGACTTTAGCTTCAGTGATGTTAGCGTCAGTGACGTTAGCTTCAGTGACGTCAGCTTTAGTAAAGTTAGCTTTAGTGACGTTAACGTCAGTGACATTAGCTTTAGTAAAGTTAGCTTTAGTGACGTTAACGTCAGTGACTTTAGCTTCAGTGAGATTAGCGTCAGTGACGTTAGCTTTAGTAAAGTTAGCTTTAGTGACGTTAGCGTCAGTGATGTTAGCTTTAAAGTTAGCTTC